TTACTTGGATCAGCTCTTCTGCTGGCAACGGTTTACTAGCACAGGTGCGGAGTGCGGGAGAGGCCTCCCGTGGGAGGCCATGGAAGGCCGGAGCAGCCGTGCTGCGTGTGACGACAAGATGGTCAACTATTTCCTAGGAGTTCCTGGTTTGACTAGTAAACAAAGTTTAGAAATAAGTTCACTGGGAGCTTATGAAATGCCAACCTGCAGCTGGACTTGGGTGTCCCAGGATGAGCAGGGCAGGATCACTGCACTGCACAATGGACTTGTCAGTAAAATGAGGAATGATGGCTACCATGGTCACCAGAGAAGAGCGGAGATTGCCTCCAACCAAACCCGGAACGGAGGGTGGAATTCTGGTGGGCCCCTCAGGCAGTGAGACCACCGTTGCACCAATGAGGGGCACAGACCCATATCCCCTACCAGTAAGGGCCAAGGCGACCCTCGTTTCAGCTTCCGTGTCAAGGATTGTTGAAAAAGCCCCTTCCCCATCTCTTCAGGACTCCTCTTCCTCTGCTGCTCACTCCTTCACGTGTGTCCTTTCTGCTGCCTGGGAAGGGAAGCCCGTGACCGCGGCTCCCTGAAATAAAGGCCAGCTCAATTCTTCTCATATATTTGGCTGAGTTATTCTTTCCCTGGCGAGCTGCGAATCTAACAAGGAAGAACCTATTTCTGACCAGAGAAAGTATCTAATGATCTGACCCTCCCCAGAGGCAGCTGAGATAGAAATGGGAGGACAGCATTTTTGAAGTATCAGGGAACTAAGCTGCGAAAAGGGCTCGTGAAAGGGTGGGTTGGTAGATAAAAACTCAAAATGACCAACAAATGGCTTGGTGAAATCTAAAATCAAATATTTGTATAAAAGCTGAGGAGATATCATTTAAAAAAAGAGAGAGAGAAAGGAAAATTCCTTTATAGGCTAAGATGCTTGTTGTTTATCCAAAGCCCCTAAGACAGCGAAACTTTTCCAGGAAGATTAACGCAGATCAGGGTTTTATTACATATTCCATACTATGTTTAAACAGTAATGTATCAAGTTCAATGTACTACAGCCAGTTGTTTTTATTGCAATTCTACCCTTAATCTCTAGCCAAATGCAAGGCCCAGTGACTACATCATATTACCTATAACTGCTGAAAAAATAGTAACCTGTTAATAAATGCTACTCCCTCAAATACCATAAAATTCTGTAATCACAAAGCTAACCAGAGAGCATGAAGGTCAATTCCAGGGGTAAGTAAGTAGCCTGTTGGCCAAGACGCCTGCATCTTACAGTGTAGTACTGGGCTTCGTGCTTAGCTCCAGTTTCTGTCTCCAGCTTCCTGCTGCTGAAGTAGCAGCGATAAAGTAACTGGGTCCCTGACAAGCACCTGGGAGGCCCCAGCTGAGTGCCCAGAGCCTAGTGGCAGCCCAGCCTCAGGCCGTGTGGGCATCTGGACAGCGAGGCGGCAGAGAGAGGGAAGCCCTGTCTTTTGGTCTTTCAAAGTTTCAAAACTGAACAAAAATAAGATTTTTATTATTTTTTAAAAATTTATTTATTTTTATTGGAAAGTCAGATACACAGACAGGAGGAGAGACAAAGAGAAAAAATCTTCCACCCGATGGTTCACTCCCCAAGTGGTCATAATGGCCGGAGCTGAGAAAATCCAAAGCCAGGAGCCTCTTCTGTGTCTCCCTTGTGGGTACAGGGTCCCAAGGCTTTTGGCCGTCCTTGACTGCTTTCCCAGGCCACAAGCAGGGAGCTGGATGGGAAGTGGGGCTGCCAGGATTAGAACCGGTATCCATACAGGATCCTGCAAGGTGAGAACTTTAGCTGCTAGGCCACTGCGTTGGGCCCATGTAATATGCATTCCTGATGTGTGTTTTTTTTAAAAGACCCTTTGTATAGGGAGCATTCAAAAAACTTCTTAACAATGGAAAACACTGTATCTCAGTGTGCCATAAAAATCTCAATTTTGGTTTAAAAAGAAAAGTAACAATCCAGTCCACAAATTAAAAAAAAAAATCTATTCATGACTGGGCCAACATGCTGGCTCAATTGGCTAATCCTGCACCTCAAGCATCCCACTCGGGTGTTAATTCACACCTGGCTGTTCTACTTCCTATCCGGCCCAAGGCCTTGGGACCCTGCACCCACGTGGGCGTGCTGGCAGGAGCTCCTGGCTCCTGGTTCTGGATCAGCTCAGCCAATGTGGTCATTTGGGGAGTGTGGCAGCAAATGGAGGATTTTGTTTCTCCTCTTTGTAAATCTGTCTTTTCAATAAAAGTGAATAAATTAAAAGAAAAAAATTAAAAGAAAAGATCCTGATGATCTTTAAGTCTGGTATATTATATACAATGAAAGAAGAACTATGCTTCTATAGGCACTAAATTAACATCTTCATACAAAACGGACGGTGTTGGAGCTAGCCAGGGTACAGAAAGCAGGTAGATTTGTGCAGCATGCACAGAAAGTCAGACAGTTGCCAATTTAAGATTAAGTACTGTCACTTCTCAGGAGGACAGCAACATAACTTTGATGAGAGAAAAATGGGTGAAACCACAGGTTGCATGTCAGTAACACAAGATGCAAGGGATGGCAGCGGCCCCTAAGCACTTCTGACTATCTGTGACTCATCTGCAAGGTCCTTCTTATACTAGATCAATTTCCCAGGTACAAATCAAAGTGGCTGCTGGGCAGGGGTGGCATGTAGCAGTCAGACGGATAAGGACGGCCGCAGCCGGGCCTTCACTTGTGCATCTTATGAGGACTATAAAGGGAATGCCTAATGTTTTCCACTGTATTGGACCATATTTCACGCAGAAAGTCACATTCTGCAGCAAATTTTACAAGTTTGGAGATCTATGCAGGACCCAAGGAGTATTCCTGATGACTGCCGTGATCTACTCTGTCCCCAAATGTTCCTGGAATCCCAGCAAGACAGCTTCTAAGGCTGTGCCTCCTCGTCATGTCTAGAGGTTTATTAATAATTGTGTGCCTGAAAATTAGGAATGATGGGCGACAAAGATGACTACCTATCTGATTACTGCATAATTTAAAATGAAGGTGAGCCAAGTAGCCGCAACATCCTCAGAATGTAGGGCTGCAACCTCACAAGGCTCCTGATCCCTCCATCCCAAGATATAAAACCCTGGTTCTGTGTACGCAAAGAATACCTGAACCAAGAATCCTAAGCAACAGTGGGAAGAAGCTACCCTGCTCCCTACTCCCCAGGACACCTCACTTCAGCTGCAGTTATCCCAGAGTCAAAGGCTGCTGCCCCCCCAGTACTCCAGGGGAATCCCTCACCGACGTACCCCTCCCTCCAGGCAGACAGAGGCAACCTCCCCAACTCCAGGAGGAGCTCCAATAGGAAAAACAGACTTCCACATTCTCTGACACTGAGGGCCACTTGCCTCTTAAGATGAATGCAAGCCTTGAAAAATATTTTCATTTTTGGAAATAAGCTGAACATTTATCTGCAGTGTTAGCTTTTGTGGCAGAAATTTAATTCAACATGGAATCAAAATATGTTTTGCTATTTTATTGTATAGAATATTGCATAAAGGAAATGCCAAAAAGTCAGTTTCACTTGTGAAAGCATCCTGTTCTGAAAAGAAAGAACAAAGCCCCGTGGGAGACAGTCTTCTCTCGAGCAAGTTTCCCAGGTTCATCTTTCCAAATGGGTGCCAACTCGTATATTCCAGCTCACACACACCTTGGGAAGAGCCAAGTTTGGAAAGTGGAGGACAAAGAATGTATTCAGACATCTAGTGGATGGTTTTTTCTCCTCAAAAATCATGGGAGTGAGTAGAGTCCAGATGCAAACAGGGCTACTTCGGGCCAGGAATCCCTTTAGACAGTAAATACGAATGCTCTGTAATCTCTAGGAGCCAGAGATTTTTAGAACAACTTTGTTTTCTGTTTGCTTTTGCGACACTATGTCTAAATGGCAACCTGCAGCTTTCTGTCCCCATGTGGGCCCTGGGGTCACTCTCCTGGGCCCTGGATGTGTGGGTCAGATGAGCCACGAGCACACACTGGCCTTTGTGGGCACTGATCCTTCTACCCAACACAGTTCCTGGAATCCATCCTTCCCCCACCAGCTCCCAGGGTGTCCACAAAGTCACAGTGAGATGCGACAGTCCAGGGCAAGGACCCAAGGCAAAAGGCAGATCTGTCTAGCACATTCTCAGACTGTCTCCTTCCCTGGAACATGCAATTCAGGATAACAGAATTTATGGTGCAATTACGTAAAAGTTTACAGTGACTTTCTATTTACATATTGAAAGTACTTAACCCAGTTTAATTTTAGGCCTGCTGCCTATTCAAAGCACCTTTTACGGTGGTGCCAGACACATTGCTACGGGAGCCCTGGGAGGGCCTAGCAGGTCTGCCCTCTTTGGCGAGGAACGCTGCCACGGCTTTCATTTTAACACCAGATCTTGGTTTCTCACGTTACTGGATTTCCCCTTGCTTTTGCTTATTTTACTCCGCACTGGGTGCTTAAAACTATCCCTTTGCAATGTCTTCTCCTCTCCATGTTTCTTCTATTTTCAGAGCAGTGGAAAATATATTTGTGTTATGACAGTTTTCTGTTCTCATCATTCCTTGCGGATAGAAGTGCCATGACCACAGAAATACAACCAAAAACCTTCATTCTGCTTCTCCTCTCCTATTGCTGCAAAACGAAGACCACTAACAACAATGTGATCTCTGTCACCTGAAAGTCTGCTAAAATTCTAGTGCATCTAACCATTATGTGTGCAGTGCACATTTCCACTGATAATTACACAAAGAAATTAAAGAACAAAGCAATCCCATCACACAGAGAACACATTATTGCTTCATGGCTTTAGAATGCTATGCACTGAATGCATTTGAAAGTCATGACAGCATGCATCTATAGTTCTTGGTTGCTAATAAAATATGGGAAGGCTTAAAGGTAGCAGTGGACAGGTCTGGTGTTACTTAAAGGTCTGGGGCACAGACGAAGAGCAAACCCCTAAAGACCACTCACCGCCTCTCCAGTGGGCGCCCGTCACTGGAGATGCTCCGAGGAATGTTGGCAGCTCTTTCTGGAGGAGGTATCTTTCCGTCTCCTTTCCCGGCATTCAGCCGTGATGTCATGGGGCTTGGCACCTGTGCTGGGGCTGGCGGGGCATGAGGCCCCTTGCTGGCGCTCCGCTGCCATTTGTTGTTGTTGCGGAAAGGAAACTTAAATTCGTAGGAAACTCCATCATTCACTTTGTACTCCATCACAGGCATGCGGAAGGTCTCGGAGTAGCTCCTACGGTGGAAGGGATAGAACAGCCATCAGCACAGTAGCTGCTTGCAGGTGGAATTGTTCCAATTCTTAACACTTACACTGAACCCAGAACTCCATCCTCTGCTCCAAATTATCTTTTAGGCTTTGGGCCCCTTCATTATTTTCCATTCAAAAATCAGAAGCTCAAGATACAAAATATCCAAGTATGTTTCCTTGACTTCATCTCTACTGTGGAGCCTAAGATATGGAGTCTCTAAAAAGACAGGGAGACCCACTGTCACCCCAGGGGACACACCTGGAAGAGGGGTGGTTACTAGGAGGGTGGAGCAGGGGAGGAGCCCCCAGCTCAAGCTCTGGCAGAAAGCTACCACCTTTGCCTAACCTCCTTGTGCTTACAACTGGAGGCCTACAAGTGGGTAGTTTTAAATGTGCTGGGGATCCCAAGAGTCAAGAAATTAAGTGGGGGAGGGGAGGGGAGGAATTCTGAATCCAAAGTGCTAATCAAATTTAGATCAGAAAGAGAGGGCACAAAAAAAAAAACAATTCTAGAAATACCAAAATTCACAACTTCCTAGGGAACAAATCAAAATCTGAAAGACTAAAACTCCATAAAAAAGAAAATGTCCCAGAGCAGAGCCACATCCCAGCAGCAGCCTAGGAGAGGTCAACTACAGGCACTAAGGGCTTCAGGCTTTGCCCCACAGGGGGCCGCCCTCTTAATGCCCAACCTGCAGGGAGTCTGGAAACTATTTTGCATTCCTTGGACCCAAACAAAGGGAGATGCCCTTAGTTAATTGCTTGATTGGTAAACTAGAAACAACCTATACCCATCATAACATTCACTCATACTGTGCTTTTCAATTTCCTTGCTCAGTGAAAAATGCTTTCCCTGTTTACTTAAAGGAATTCCAGGGTTTGGGAAACAGGTAGGAAGAATGGAAAGGGGAAGCTAATACAGTAATTCTGTGAGAGGAGTTAGACTGGGTAGTAGGTAGTTAGGGTATTCTGGGTCCCCAAGTCATTTTTTTTTTTAATAAAAGAGAATTTCCCCACCATGTCTTAGATTCAACAGAGCACGTTTCTGCCAAGGGACAAGGGTGACATTAGCATATCAATTCCATTGTGAGGGGGAGGGGCTGGCCAGTGACACCTTTCTGGCCTTTTGTCCCAAGGCCAGGTGCCATGGAAACCAGGAATTCTTTGTTATGGAGAAACATCTTTGAGGCAAACCTTTAAAAGATGCTTTCCTCACCATTAATACGGGTTCTTCTTGTCCTCCTGCCACTATGGGTCTTTTTTTACTTTTCCTCCTGCCACTATGGCAGGGGGTAGGGGTCCTTTCTATCTCAAAGCTCCCTCCTGTCATTAGGACAGGAGTCTCTCTTCTCAACTTTTCTAATAAATCTTGCTTTAAAACTAAACTGTGTCCACACGAAAATTCTTCTTTCCCGCGAGACAAGAATTGAGGTTGCTGCCGTACACGGGGTCAAAAACCCTACAACAATTCTAACATAGCACTTTAGGGAAAATATAAACAAACACCAAGACAGCTCTGTGTGACAGAAACAGAGGGTAAACCACAAATCAAATCACCAATGTCCAGTCATCAAAATTAGAATAAAAGGAAATTGTTGAAAATTGTGCGATTGAATTTAGTGTATCAAAAATGTCATTAACAGGCAGTGAATAATGAGGAATTTCTACGTTAAGCTTAACCTCAGTCACCGGCTCTGTTTTACTGCCTCCCATGGCTGAGTAACCACCTGCCGGCTTCTTGTTTTCTTCTGACCTCTGTACAATGCAAGGACAGTATGAGCGCATAATGTACACAAAAGCATTTTCATCCTCAGTAAGCTCTGGTGTTGAAGCAGGGTAAGTCTAAGTCCATGGATGGTACTGCGGCCTGGACACACACACGGCCAGCTGAAGGCCCTGGGAGACCAGGCACATTTTGATCCTTAACTGAAAAACACCACACTACAGATCTCAGTCTCACTCAAGGCACAGCCGATGAACGGAAAATCAACACTGTCTAGAAACCCCATTACAGGGCTATGGTTAACAGGAATGACAATCTTAATGATAAAAATGACAAATGGAGACCAGACCACTGAAACAACGCATTCTCTCTGTTCTAGTCATTTCTCCAAACTTTCTCTTTTCATTTCTTGTTTCTCATCCCTTTCTCCTTTTCTTGTTGAAACATCATGAAATTCAGAGAAATGCATCAACAGAGCCATCACTACACTAGACTCCTGGTTCAGGGTTCTGTGCTGCAGCTAGGTCCCCCATGATGAGGGGACCGGATGCATGATGGGGGCGCCGGAATACACAGGGCTCCTCTGAACCTACCGTCGTCGTGGGAAAGAGCTAGATGATTCCCAACAGCTCTTTCTGACTCTGAAGCCTGCTTTTGCTTACTGAAATACTGCGTGTGTGTGTGTGTGTGTGCGCGCGCGCGCGCGCACGTGCGCTTAAGCTCATTAGGACCTGTCTCATTCAAGAGGTAATTCAGCCCTGTTTGTTTTTAGCTACGCAATGATCCTCAGTGTTTTCCTTAGAAAACCACACGCTTGAGGGGAATATAGGGAGGGAGAAGGGATTAAGCTCCTGCCCCACTAGGTCCCAGTTCTGGCTCCTCTGTGCTTCCAACCCAGCTTCCTGCTAACAGGCCTGTGAGGCAGCGGACTTGGGGCCTTGCCAACCACATCTGAGTTCCTGCTGCCAGGCTTCTTCTTGGCCCAGCCCTGGGGGTTGCAGGAATTTGGAGAATGTATCAACAGATAGAAGATCCCTGCCTGTGTCACTCTGCCTTTCAAATAAATAAAACTTGAGTTAAAAAAAAAAAAAAAACCAGAAACCAGAAACAAACAAAAAAACCAAAAATCTAGAAACAAAACTTGGAGGCTTGTAGCCCTCAGCAAAGGCTGGCCAGTCCGCAGCAGCAGCAATCGAATCTGTGATCCACAGATATCATCAAGGCAATGACCACAGACTGGGGTCACACTGCGGCAGGGATGCTGGCCAGCCACTCCAGCAGGGTGACGCCGCCCCCTGAAGAGGCATCCCCTCTAGGGATGCTTGCTCTGTGGGTGGCCATAGGCCCTCTCCAAACCTCATTCTCCTTGTTGTTTAATGAAACAAAGCTGTTGTGAGGAGTTAAAAAACTGTCCAGCACACAGTGGGGATTCAAATTTTTCCTTCATTCTCTTTACTCTTTCTTCTTTTTAAAAACCATAGTTTCAAACAATCCATGCAGGGGTCTTTCAAACAGGGTGAAGAGCCCCACGTTAGATTTGCTCTTTATCACTGTTTAAATGTTAAACTGGATTTTATGTTTTAAAAAGAGCTCCTTTATTCAAAATGAATGACTCTCCCAGGTGAACGTGCCAACTCTTGGTTCTGCAATACGTGCCCTGTAGTGGACAACACAGCGTGCCTGTGACCCCGAGAACGGGTGCTGAGGGACACCGAGTCCAGGGAGGCCTGCCCTACCTCATGCTGGAGCTGGGGAAGCAGCTGACATACAGGAGTGACTCTCAAAGAACAGAGTAATTAGTCACTAGGAAAACAGCAGTGGGAGTGTGAGGTGCGGAGGAGAGCAAAGAAATGACAGGAAAGCATTATCTTATTTTGTAGAAAATTGTTAACAAGGTGTTACCGCTTCAACTGTTCTCTTTGAACTCACTCGCAGAGGAAGAAGGGGAAGCAGGCTTGGGAGCACCAGTGGGATCACTCTCCACCTGCCCAGAACTGGGACAGTGCTTTGCAGATGGGAACTGTAGTGAACAGGCAGTGTGCTCCAGGCCTGGGGCTGTGCACACCTGACACGGTCCTTGGCCTCCATCCCAACCCTGAAGCACATGCCACTGGCAGCTGGCTGGCCAAGGGAGGCTCATGCGAGGGCTGCACAGCAACGCTGGGAGACACAGGTAGACGTGGTGCATGCCCTCAGCAGTGATGGCAACAGACCTGTGCAGGGCGCGAGAGCAGAGGTGGATGGCGGAGGAGGGTCAGTGTTGTGAGCATTTGTGGTTCCATCCATTCTGCTCTCCTGCCACAGCTGTCACTCTGTAGCATGAAATCCATTGCAATGGGAATATCTACCCCACGGAAATCAGCAAGGCTTTCTCCCCATCAGGAAGGCAATTCAGCAGTCTAACACTGCATATAGAAGGAATAGACTTGGGTGAACAGATAAGGTAGCACACACAGCTTGGACCTAAACTTTACATAAGAGACTGGGAAGTTACTATCTTTCTGAGACTGAGTAATAATACTAGAACTCTGCAGTGCCTTATCTAGGACATGGCATGCTGAAGCAAAATACTCAGTCAATGATGCTTTTCCCAATGCACCACACAAGACAAACCTGGTCTAACCATTATCTACACCACTTCCTCCCATGGAGCCATCTCTCTGGGCCAGGCCCTCACACCCATCTCTGCGGTAACAACCATCTACACAGGTGTTAGCAATGGCACCCCTTTCCACTCACTCACCCCCATGTGGTTGTCTGCACACACCCCACTCCCTGCTCAAACCCAGGACCCCCGAAATAAGGGAATGCCTCAAAGCAGACCAGGTAGCACCACAGCATCTACAGAACTCACTGCTGCCTGACTCTCATTGGACTGAGTAAGACTTCATGTTGTGTCACTCAGGCGGACAGCTTATGAAGCAGGGTGCTCTTCCCTGGTCCATAATTGCCTGTTTAAGTGCAGCCAAGCACACAACCTGAAGAGTGGACCAAGCAACAGCACATAAAGTGACAAGTCAGACACTGCAGGGTACAAAAAAGAGCCTTGCTGCCTCTCTGAGCTGCTTCACTCATTTTTTGAATCATGATCCAGCAATTTTTCACAATAATGATGCTGTACTTGAGGAAACCAGACAGGTTAACAGGATTCATTAGATCTGGTTAACCAAGAGAGGGCATGTGTGGAGGGCAGCTTCAAATTATTTTTCTTCCTCTAAAATCACTGAAAAAAAAAAAAGCTTTGACCTACTGCACCACGTGCCAGGTCCCATCTACAGAAGGAACTGATATTGTGGCACAGTGGGCAAGCTCCCACTTGTGATGCTAGCATCCCTCAGCCCGTTCAGCTCTCTGGGCTGTGAGGGCAGGGATGGAAACACTGTGAGCTGTGAATAGCAGCTGGGTACAGAGAGCAGAGAACGGGGTTGTGGAATATATCAAGAAAGCAGTCTAACGGTCTGAGATGCCGAGCATCTTAACAGTAAGTGCTCAGTGATTCTCTGCTACTGGTGTGAGACAAGCTTAAGACGACATCAGCAGCCTGCTGTATCTTAACAGCAGCTTTACAGATCCAGAGCCTGGGAATGGGCCCAGTTAATCATTCTTTCCAGCTGCTGCCGCCACACACTTGGAAGGCAGCTCTGCCGTCCCGACTCAGACTTTCCACAGATGGATTTCCTAGCACTGCATGGGATCTAATGCTCCTCTCAACACCTGGCAGACTAAAGAACGTCGTGTGTGCTACACAAACCCTGCTTCACAGTGCCACCCAAGACCTACCTGCGTGGGGTGCAGTCATCATGTGGGGGGATGATGACAACCTTCACCGTGACAGAGGTCCTCAGAAGGTCAATCATTTGCTCATGGCTTAGGGTGGCCACAGCGACCTTGCAGATCTCCACCAGGCGGCTGCCCTGCCTCAGCCCTGCCTGCCAGGCATAGCCGTAGGGCTCCACATCGGCCACAATGCCCTCGTAGTTGACGTGGAAGCCGAGCTGTCCAAGTCCATTTCTTCGCAGAGTCATCTCCACCGATTCACAACCTTTTGAAACAAACTAGATAAGGAAATAAGAGAGACTGTGGTTTAATGCAATGGGGTAATAAGTTGTGGACATGGGCCTGGAAAAACACTGCAAGCAAGGTTATTTCTGAACGCTCTACTGCCTGGCGAAGAGCAATCTGCATTCTTTCTCCCTCACTAGCTTCTACACTCAGTAGACCAAAGGCAACACACTTCATCCAAGGAGCTCAATGGCATCCCTGAAGCTACAAGAAAACATCTGACAAAGACCCACAGGGAGCTGGCAGCAAAGGGAAACTGCTCTGCCACTTATTGTGCCCTTAGGAGTTCAAGGCAGCACATCCTCAGTCCAGCAAATTTTCTCCCTGACACTAGATTGTGTGGGTCACAACAGCAGTCACCATCAGCATCAGCAGGTCCTATGCAGACGGGCTTCACACACACACACCTCTGCTACAATTCTGCCATACAACACCAGTGTGAGACAAATTCTACTGCTTCACACTATCAGAGGAGTAAATTAAATAGCCCAATCTTCAGTCACTTGGCTGCATTACGTATTGAAAGGTTTATAAAAGGAAATCGCAGATTTGGAGGTGGAAGGAAATGACGCACCTGCAACCGTTTGACGATCTCTTTGATATCCTCGCTGCTCATGAAGCTCTCCACTGAGACACATTCTCCTCGCTCGTAGAAGATTTTGAGGCTGGTGTCAGTTGATGTCCACCCTATCACATCTCTGCAGGAACAGTTGAAAACCACACTCTTTGTTTCTTGTTCAATGAGGACGATGAACTCGTTGGACACTCCCAGAAGGCAGTCTATCTCCATGGCTGTGTTGTAGTCTTTGGCCCGCACGACCCACACAATGGCCCCCATGCTGCTGAGCTCAGCCCCTGGGTATGGCTTAGATTTCTCTTTTTTCTTAGAGGCCAGAGAGATGAATGGGAATTTGCCAGAAGGGTCGATAGGGGTGTTGGTGACATTCTTCTCTGCCAGATCTTTTAAGTATTCCTGGCGAGTCCGAGTGGCCATGGCCCGGAACTTCTCCGATTTGTGAGCAGCATTTTCTGCATTAATCACTTTGGCCAAAAGGAAGTCCCTGAACACATTTGACTTAGGGAAAGTAACTCCTTTAGGGATGGGAGGTCCAAAGGAAGGTACATCTCTGGATCTGGTGACAGCCACGCTGAGAGACAAAGCAAACATCAAAGAAGTGTGTCATTTCTGAGGTCTAAAAACAAGACAATAAAATGTATTTTCTCAAAGACAAAGCTTGGAGGTGAAACAGCTGTTCATTTTCCTGCAAGAAACACACATTTCTTCTTGATATGAATATACTTTTCCAATCTACCATGTTTAAGATTTACCAGAAAACATAAAGTAAAAACTTACCGTTAAGAGATAAGAAATTAATCATAAAAATTACCACTATATTTTGCATAGAGATACTTTAAATACTTCTACCTATTGTCATCAGCGTGGGCAATGAGAAAGGGCCCACTATAACGATATAACCTTTCGGGTTTCCTAAGAATACAAATTTGTTCTCCATTTTAGATATGATGTTCATAGCAGACGGTTTATAACGAAAACATCTGAAGATGCAGTATATAAAAAAAGGGGGTAAAGTTTTAATAAAATTATTTGTTGGTTTAACTGTGAAGCATTATACAGAATAAAACTAATTTTCAAATAATATAAGTACTATAGTGATTTTGATCTTCTTATAATTAAAGTCATTCCTTAAGCAATTCTCTCCTTCTGGTACTTCATTTTGACAATATATGTGTGAGACAAACACATATTTTCCTCTATTTTTAAAAATAATATTACTAAAAGAAAGCCAGGTCCAACGATTCCTTCTGCACACAGATTGCTGAAAGGAGTATTACAAAAGGAGCACACGAACATACACAATAAATTACTGTTTTCAATCTTGAGAGGAAAAACAGAATTGAGTTTCCCGTAAAACAACATCATCAGTAGTTAAATGGAAATGAAGAGGTTGTGAGTTATCTCTCCCATTGCAAGATCTCATGCAGAGACCAGGTAAAGTCTGAGATAGCTGGCAATGAAGCCTACACAAGAAATGGCCTCTTTCTGAATCAGTTACAAGTGAGTCAATATAAAACTACACTAAGTCGTAAGGAGGAAATATGAAGATCTGGTTTTTTTTTTTTCCCCTTCAGAACAGGCCAGACAGCGTACATCTCTCCCATTAAGTGCAAGAGTTCCTCTTTAGTTGTTCTGCACTTTCAAAGGGGCTTCACTGTAAGATACCTAGTTTTACTTTTGGCGAACTGTTTGTGGAAAATAAAAAAACAAAAATCAGCATGCTCCTGATACACATTACACTCTTGGTGAATGGGAAAATGATACCGCCAGAAGATATCATACAACGGTTAATTCATTGGGTTTCACAAGTTCACTAAAATGAATAAAAGATTATTTACTTCATTTCATGATAAAGGAGGAGAGGCAAGCAACATTCCATTTTCTAACTGAAAAAGAGAATTTACAGAAATCTCCACACACATTGTAGCCTAATTACACCAGTATTAGGAAGGCAATTTTTCTTTTTCTATTGTGAACTGTCTTGTGTGAATGCTGACAGCTGTATAATTTTAATTTGATCATGCTATCTATTTTCTTTTTCAGTCAAGCAAACGATGCTGAACTCCAAATTAGCTAGATTTCCTAAGAGAAATCTTGTAGGAATCTAGAAATATTTAATATCTCCCATCTTAAAACTGGCAATTTCTTGTCTTGCTAATTCCGCTCAGATCATTATGCGTTCTCAGGAAGCAGCTGTGAGCTTATTTTAACTGGGGAGAGGAAACAGCATGGCGGGGGCTGTGACTTTGAGCACCATCCCTCCACTTGCCCTGTAAGCTCTCTGACTTTTTATAGATCTATTTATTAAATGATAGGACTTCAGATGAGCACAGACTGAAAACCCACCAATAATTAGAGGCCGAGAACTGAGTCCTTACCACGTAATTATCAATGAGTCACCCTGCAGGAAGGTAGATGATACAGACACTAAAATCAGCTCAGCATTATTAGAGACAGTTCTTCCAGAGGGAGCAGATGAGCATGATACCCTAGGATGCTCTTTTCAATAAAGCACTTTTATTTTGAAGAAATCCAACTTTCAAGGTTTTTACAAAGTTGAAAGCTTATTCAATTTTGATGCCACAAATTCTCAACTTTTGACTAAGGTGGCCTGGTTTAAGACAGACAGCATTTTTTGTCTCAGTAACAAAATAAGCCTGCCTGTTAAAAAAAAAAGACGAACATTATTGCTTTGCTCTTCATTTTTTGAAACATTGTTATTTTGCCTTAATTCCTTAAGAAGTTTTTGTCTTTTTAAAATTCTTGCTCAAGAGTTATGGAGAGGAGGAGAAAATCAGAAAGATCTGTCATCTGCTTGTTCATTTCCCAAATGGCCACACTGACCAGAGGTGAGCTGATCATGAGCCAAGAGCTGCTGCTGAGCCTCTCATGTGGGTGGCAGGGGTCCAAAGACTTGAGCCATTCTCTGTTGCTTTTCCAGGGCATTAGCAAGGAGGTGGATCTGAAGTGGAACAGCCAGGACTCAAATTGGCACCCATGTGGGATGCTGGCACTTGAGGTGAATGCTTAGCATACTGTCCCATGGCACCACAATTCCCCCCACCCATTTTTTTTGTTTGTTTTAATAACAGACCCCATGGGTGGGTATTTAGCCTAGTAGCTAAGATGTCAGCTAACATAGCTGTGGCCTACTTTGGCGTGCTTGAGCTTGATGTCTGGTCTCAGTTTCTTGCTAATGCAGATCCTAGTAGCAGTGATGGTTCACGCAACTGGATTACTCCCACCCTACAAGAGATATGGATTATATTCCTGGCTTCTACCTTCAGCCCAACCCAACCACAGGCACTGCAGACATTTGGAGACTGAAACTGCTGATGGCAGTTCACTCTTTTCACCTCTCTGTCTCTGCCTCTCAAATGAATGGATTAAGAAAAAACTTGCAAGGGGCCTCCCTTGGAAAGGGAGAGGGGAAGAAAGAGAGAGCGAAAGACAGACACTGACTGCGACAACTGCAGAAAACCATCACTTGAAGGGAATTTGGAGAATTCAGTGTTCTTCAAATTCTCCCAATAAACCCAAGTTTCATCTTAAGATTCATTTCCAGGGTGGACATCTTACATAGCATTGAGGCATTGCTTGGGAGAGCCACATACCACATGTAATGTCCAGATTCCACTCCCAGCCCCACCCTTGAGTCTGGCTTCCTGGTAATATGCACACTGAAAGATAACAGTGATGACTCAGGTAGTTGGACCTCTGTCACTCATGTGAATCTAGATTGAGTTTCAGGTTCCCAGCTTCCTCCTTGCAAGGAGGGAATTGAACAGAGGTCCCGAACACTGACCCGTGACCCCACCATTCAGGATTCAGCACTACCTTGAATGCCTGTGTACTCAGCACTACTGTAAATTCCCTAGGTCTTGGCCCCCTTACCTAACTAACCTAATGACCCTCAGGCTCAAACCGTGTGCTGCACAAATCCCTTCAGGCATTTATCCACGGTGTCCACCTCTAGCCACACCTGCCAGTCTCTGACCCCACACTCCCATACCCAACTCAAGCTTATAAAGGTCTGTCTTGGTTTCCTCTCTCTGCTCTTCTCATCCTCTCCTCCACTCTTTTCTGTCTCTGCTTCACTTTCTCCTTGCCATGTGACTGCCTCCCCTGCCAAAATAAAAGATCTCTTGTGTGCTTCACTTGCTGTGTCTGGCATCTTGGGCTCGTGGAAAAAGCTAACACTCCTGGCTCAGGCTCAGCCAATATGGACATTCGGTGAATGAAACAGGATGGGAGCTTTCTGTTTCTCAAACTAAAAAATAAAATGAAAAGAAATCCATCTTGACTTTGCATTGTACTGAGGAATATCTGTGTTCATTTTTAACTTAAAACAAAAATATTTTCTCTCTCCAAAATCTCTAAGTTACAACCAAGGGCTGAGGAACGTGCCCTGTGCCTGCTCTGGGGTTTGATGTGTCTCCAAACCTCCAAAGGAACAGCTGCTACAAACGCCTCACTTCTCTAGGAAGCAAATGCACACAAGTGAAATGATTTGTATACGGTTGTCAAGGAGAGCCAGGTTTGGAATGCGCGTGTCTGGACAGCCAATGCAGTGCTCTGTGATAAGACAACACTTACTCCTTCTGGGGAAGACTCTCAAATCTTTGCTGAACCAGACCACCCACGTGGGTCACGTAGCCCAAGGGACCACCAGGTTGTTGCATCTAGCACAGATGATCCATCTGCCACTTGCTGGAATGAAGGACCTGGTATCCAAAGTCAAAAGATGATGTAGTCATCTTAGCGCATCTGAGGGGGAGTTGGTCCATGACCTCTGTTAGATAATGAAATCTATAATGCTCAAGACCCTCTCATAAAACGGACATAAAATCTGCATATCACCTAGGCACAGTCTCTATATATGAAGTCACCTGAAAAGGTATATAGTGAATGCAACTGAAAGAGCACTTTATTTTGCTGCAGTTCTTGCATACAAAGAGTCTTGCAAAAGTTCATGAATAACGTTTATCATGCAAACATTACACATGGATTTCAAAAAAGTTGTCCACCAAAATAAACTTCTCTGTTAATCTATTTCTGCCATAAATGTTTTTAGGCACCTTTACACTTCCATCACATTCAGATTTACGATACTTGATTCAATGAAGTAGCTATTTCACTATACTATATTGCATAGGTAAAAATGACAAGAAAAATAGTCTGTACATGTTTAGCACAGAAGCAGTTTTTCTTGCTAACATTTTGATCTGCGATTGATTAAGTTCACAGAAGCTGAACCAACATGTGGGCCTGTGGTACAAGGAAATGCTCCAGAGACCTCTGAATGCAGTCTCAACTGGAGCAAGGGAGAAGAGTAAGATGCCTGAGTTTGGAGACAGGACGAAAGCAGCAATTCACAATGAGCCCCAGCTCATAATGTAAGAGGAAACTCACAGGCAAAAGCTCAAAATGGTAGCATGCGGAGATTGCCCTTCCTGCAGCCTGCATCGGACTGGCAGCTTTGGAGCTGGGCAGAGGACAGGACAGATCAGTGACAAAACAAATGTAGACCAATCATTGGATCCCAGGGACTAAGATTCCTACCCAGTATTC